CTCCTCCGAGGGAGAGAGAGAGAGAAGGGGGGGACAGCGGTGACGACCACCCGTTCCTTGTAGTGAAAGTGCAGGTGTGGCCGGCTCGCGTCGAAGCAGCTGTGTGCTCTGCCCTGGTCGTTCCAGCAGGGGTGCTCCTGAGGAGCATCGAGCATCGAGGGAGGAGGAGGAAGATAATGACGAGGAGGGGGAGAAGGAACAGGAGGATAAAGAGGAGGAGGAGAAGGAGCAGCAGGAGGAGAATGATGATGATGATGCTGATGCTGATGATGATGATGATGATGATGATGATGATGATGATGATGATGATGATGATGATGATGATGATGACGAGGAGGAGGAGGAGGAGGAGGAGGAGGAGGATGACAAGGAGGAGAGGGGGAGGAGGAGCGAGGATCGAGGATCGAGCGAGGGGGGAGAGAGAATCGAGGATCGAGAATCGAGGGAGGATGGAGGTCGAGGATCGAGTGATGGGGGAAGGAGGGAAAAGGATCGAGGATCGAGGTCTTTGGGCGCCTTTTCTCCCTGTTTGCCCTCGGGGGGAAGAGGGCCAGAGGAGCAGGAGCGGGAGAAGGGGGAAACCTGGAGGGAAACGAGGGATGGGCAGGTTGAGAATGTTGTGGAGGTCAAATACGAGGAGGAGAAAGAGTTCTCAAGCTCAAGACCCCAAGATGCTCCAGTCCACGCTGGTTAACATGCGTGTACTCGTGAATTCGAGAATTCCAGTATATTGTTACAAGAGCGTGCGTATCCACGACAAGCACTGTTCCAACCAACCAGCCAACTTTTGCTACACAGCGAAAGCTCCCGGCAGACGCAGTTCTCGCCGTCGAAGTCGATCAGCGGGAGGCTCGGGTCGTCGCACGTTTTGCCTACAGCGCCAAGAGAGATCCACATCCACGGCCTCTGGAAGTCCTGCGACAGTAGAGGCCTCCCAGATAGGGTCCGAGCAGATAGGGTCAGAGGGTCGCGCCGCATCGCCGATACATCGGCGATGCGTCGGCGATACATCGGCGATGCATCGTTGACGTCGGCGATGCATCGGCGACGCCGACGTGAAGCAAACCGGGCCTCACATCGAGCCGCATCGGCGATGCCTCGGCGATGCGGCGCGATCCTCCGTCCCCGCAGGTCCCCGAGGCGCGGAGGATGTGGATGCTGCTGTCGGTGGCGAGCGGGGGGGGGAAGCGAGAAGGAGACGGCCCTTCTCAGAAGGTGGCGGGACTCCCCAGAATCCCTCGCGCCCTCCGAGAAGCTGATCTGGCGTCTTCGGGGAAGGCCGAGACGACCTCTCAGGAGGCCGGAGGACTCCTGAGCCCTTTGGGACGGCCTTCTCCCCCTCACCTCCCCCCCCATCGCTCGCCGCCGGGGGGAAGGAACGTCCTGGCTTGCTTCGGGCCCTTCCTCGCAGAGGCCAGCAGCCTGCTCCTGCGAGCGGGGCCGCCGCTCCACGCTCGGAGGGGCCACGCCCACCGCGGCTTCCCCGACCTGGTGGACGCCGACCGCCACCCGGCACTGGGACGAGGCCAGGACGGGGATCTCCACCAAAGGGGGGGGGGACCCTGAGGGGGGGCACGAGTTCGATCCGCAGGTGCACCGAGCTGCCGCAAGCAAAGGCCCCCCCGCACGCCCCACCTGTCGGCAACGATCGGGAGCTGCCGGCGGCTGGGGTGTATCTGTTTCGGGCGGCTCGGTGCAAAACCGATCGAACTCTCACACACACACACATGCAGCCAGGGGCACGCCCCCCTTTTGCGGGATCCCGACAGGACCAGGAACAAATCGGACCGAGATAAGACAAGGCGAGGCCAGGACCGGGACAAAACCGGACCGAGGAAAAGTAAGAATCTAAGAATCTCGGAAATCGGGCTTTTCAGGAGGACTCATTGCGCGCCGACCGCGGCTTCCCCGGCCTGATCACCTGCCAGACCACAGACCACCCCAACCCACCCCGAAGACCAGAATCCCACCAGCCCTCTGGGCGCAGGTTGCTTAGGGAGTTTCCTCTTCCACCCCCATTCGTCCCCTTCGGGGAGGGGTTTACCCCTCCCCCCTGCCCACTCCCCTGGACCTGGACGGGCGGTGCTGCGACCCCCTGGAGCGTCCAAAACGACCTCGGCGAGGAAGCCAAAATCATTTGTTTTACTATGGTTTGGGCCCAATTTTGTCGGCCTCTTGGGGGGGGACGCTAATTGGAGCTCCCCTCTTGTTTGATCGATAGCCTCCTAGATGGCCCGAAGAGCGCCCCTAAAGCTCCCAAGCGCGCCCTAAGAGGGCCCCAAGAGGCCCAAGAGGCCTCCAAGAGGCTCACAAGAGAACCCCAAGAGGCCCCCCAAAGGCTTTAAGATGATCCCCGAGGCACCAAAGATAACCACCAGACGCTCCAAGAGGCCCCCCCGAGGCACCCAAGACGCCCAAGAGCCCCCCAGGACCTCCGAGAGACCCCCAAGACGTCCCAAGAGGTCACCAAGAAGCGCTCAAGCGATATCCCAAGAGGCCC